CGAGAAATGACGGCAAGACAGGATTTCTGATCAGGCCGCCTAGTTTATTATTTCCTCAGAAGCTGTTATACAGCAAATGGGCAAATGGGGGAAGGGAAAGGTGTCAGGGGAAAGGGAAGGGAGTCAGGAAGCTCAGTTCTGCTGGAATTCAGGTCTGGAGACTTCCCCAGCTGATGAATAAATACTGAGGGTCTGTGATTATTGACTAACAAAGGAGAATGCTAATGAGTTCCGGAGCCTGGTTCCAGCAGGTTGATTTCCTAGACCCTTCAGAGGGGATAGAGGTAAATATTTTTCTTAATTTGTGACCTTAAAATGTCTGTGTGGGGGCCATGGTTGAGCTGGGGCAGCATGGTGAGCAAAAGACTGCGGTCCCCAGAAGGTGATTATTGTTGTTCATCTGTGAAAGACTTTTTGTTTATTGGGTAAAAAGTATTATGAGGATTGATAGGACTCTCAGCCCATGTTCTTGGGGATGACCAAGTTGGTAGGCTCATCATCACCTATATTCCAGGTCCAAGGTAACTGACAATCTCTTCTTTGGTATGTCTTTTGTACAAACATAGAAGACATTTTCTCTCACAGACAAACATACACAAAACCTGGGGATAAATTTGTTTCAAAATTTTTGTGATTTTAAAGCAATTAGGGTTAACATGTTGCTTTGCACACATAATCATATACTATTTCTTTAAAAATCTGTTATCTTGCATTTGGTTTGGAAAAGTTTTCATTTCCTCATTCTGGTGCACACCTAAAGGCACTCATCAATTATAGGAAACAAAATGGTGTCTATGTGATCCTAACAGACATCCTTTTCTTTATTGTAAGAGAATGAGATCCTTTTAGTAGTCAAAGCTATTTTCTACAAAGTTGAAACATTAGCAGGTTTTGAGCAAATGAACCAGACTACATAATGAGTGCTAGTTAGTGATTTCTTGGAGTTTGATCTTGATTAGAATCTTGTTCTTTTATAAGGGTCTATGATACATATTTGTGTGTCCATCATTTGGTCTTGTTTTGTCAGTGGTACCATCTATGTTGTTGACTTTATTAATTATCATCTAATTATATTTTTTCTCTGGAAAATAATGGAAAATTTTTGTATTCAGAATATTTTGTTATGAGTTAGTAGAGTTTTCACTAGTTTGGGAGCTTTCTATGGAGAGACAATTCCAGTTTTGCCTTATTGATGTTAGGGGCTCATTGCCTCTTTTCATTTCTTGGTATATCTGTATTTTCCAGTTGTTGCTATCGTCATGTTTGAGTTTTTGCTGCTTGAATGATTGATATGATCAATACATTTACTTTGGATCTTCAAAGCATTGTCTCATGTTATTGTCTCTGTGTCTTCATTATCTTTAACTGTCAACATGACACAGCCCAAATCATCTGAGGGAGCATCAAATGATGGTGTGCCTAGATCAGGATGTCTGTTTTCTGTTTCTAAGAGAGATTGTGCGGATTGCTGATTGATGATTTCACTAAGTTGGCAGTATCTCTAAGCAAGTGGGCATGAATGGGATAAGACAGCCAACTGAGCATCAGACAGTGATAAAGCAAGAGAGAGAGCCAGGACAATGGGTCCACATGTTTTACCTTCAGTTATCTGTCGATTGCGTTGGGTGGGTCACTCAGTCTAGGGGTTTGTAACCCACCCTGCAATCAGTTATTTCAGGGTCTTGAAGGGGCGCTACCTGGAAGGGAATGAGCTAGGACAGAAGAATGATGCCAAACAGATTTGTCAAAGCCCCCTTTATTAGGATCATGGTTGCTGTTTATATAGCCCCTGTATGAGGGCTTGGTGGGCAGGGCACGGGATCTCGCCGCGTGGTCCCGGTCACGTAGGCCAGGTTACGTTCGGACAGGTAGGCCAAGAAGTCACGAGTTGCCACACCTAGTTCCTGTAATTATTTTTAGGGGGGAAATGGCTCGTGACAGTTATCAGCTTGGGTTTTTATCTTAGCCTCCACCAATGATGCTCTCTGAACTTAGGGCTATCAATCAAATGAACCTGTAGGCATCTTTTTTTACTATTAGCTGCTAGGTATTTTCCAACTTAAGTTTTCCTTCTTGATTATGTTTCCAGTCCAAGGAAGCCTATTCAGGGTCAGACATCCGATGATTATTAAATGGTAGACTTATTCTTCAGGTGAGAGAATTAGCCTTAGGTAAGAATTGAAAGACCCTAGAATTTCTAAGGCCACGAGGGAAGTCCCCAGACTCAATAATCCAGGCCAGCAGATACAACAGCAAGAGGTTTTATTCTGAAAGCACTAAGGGGTGACTCAGGACTCCCGTGAGACTGAGCACACCGAGCAAAATTTCAGCAAGCTTTTATAGGCAAAATTGATGACATAATCCGGGTTTTCAGAGCATAAGAATCATTGGTTATTTTAAACAGATCAGACAGTGGCAAGGTTCATGGTAAGGACAAAGTTGTTCATTCCATTTCCCAGATGTTCCAAGCTGGCCCTGACCTTCCCCATCTGGTTTTCGTTAGATTATTCAAGGGGACAGACTGTTCCTTTTGTGAACTGCAGACATTCTAAGTTTGGCACATGTGCCAATCACAGAGATCCTGTTCTCCTAAGCAAACGGGATGTTCTCATGAGAATAGGCTAGCTGCAGGTCCTGAGGGTCTTGAGGGTCTTTCAAGCAAACAGGATGTTCTCATGGGAATGGGCTAGCTGCAGGTCCTGAGGGGGTCTTGAGGGTCTTTCAGAATGAATTTCCTAATTGTTTGTCCAATACAACACTGTCAGACTTTAAACCATATACATACAACCAGTTAAAAAAAAAGGGAGGGGGACCCATTGTATTCATATTTTTCAGCATACTTATTCATACATACTTAACAAGAAAGAACTTGGAAGGAAAGTATATGTGAAGGCACAGAGGGAGGACAAAAAGTGCAGAAAGTAGTGTAATATCTTTTAATTAAAAATGCATAGAAACAAATTGTAAATAGAAGAAGAGGGGCTAGAGAGATGGCTCAGCAGCTAAGAACACTGCTGTTACAGAGGAACCATGTTCCTTTCCCAGAACCCACATGGTAGCTAACCATTTGCTGTCACTCCAGTCCGCAGCATCTCCTGGCTTCTTCTATACTCTGTGGCTTGTGCCCATGAACACATACAAGCAGGCAAACTACCATATAACTAAAATAAAAATCAAGGTTAAAAAGCAAACAATGGAATTCTCTACAGTGGTGTCAGCCCCAAGACAAACTGCAACCATAGCTGGTTCAAATGAACTCTTCCTTCTGGTCTTGGTAAAAGCGGCTGTGGCCTCTCAGAGGCAAAGGAGCCTTGCTCTGGGGTTACAGTAGTCAGGATTGTCAACCAAGAGCAGCAGCCACAGTGTTGACGTTTTCTGAGTTTGTGTTCTCTGTCCTCTGTACTTGTAAGAATTATGACATTCACACATCTATGTTTTACATCATACATAATGATTGACAGAAAACATAGGCCCCAAAGCAATCTATTTTCAATGTGTCTTTTACTTGGTTTTCGTCTAGGGCCTTGTGGAGTAAAATGAACATGCCAGAGGCAGTACTTCATAACACTTTTAGAATTTTTGTATTTTCCTGCATGCCTGTGAGATGAGAATGCCCCTTAATGTTTCTGCTTTTACATAGTGACCAGGATTGGGACTGGATTTGTTAAACGAGCGTGCTTTGGCCGAACTTGATATGAATTTGTCTAGATTCCCTAAGCACACTTCCTATGCTTCCTTGTTTAGGGAAAGCATGGTTTTGGAAATGACTCCCATGCTCTCCGTGCCTGCTGCAGATAAGAAAGCTTTCTCTTGCCTTCTCTGTTGGCTGCTGTGAGGGCTATTCTTGTTAGTCAAACTGACTACCCATACAGTATACTAAAACCCAAAGAATTTTGTGCACCTGTGATGTACTTTCTAAGTAAAGGTTTTGAAATGGAAAGACCCTTCATCAAGTTGGAATTTTGGATTAATAAGATCCTCTTTTGACCTGGGTCAGACCTTCCGGTGGCAGCCCACATATAAAGGATAGAGAGGAAGGAAGTTCTTTCATTTGCCTTGTTGCCCTGCCTGTGGCTAGGAAGGTCTTTAAGAGATCTCTTTAAAGCCTGATGTTTAGGATTTCTAGTGTGTACTGACTTCTACTTTCCTTTTGTAGACAGCTATTGCTGGACATTACAGCCTGTGAGACAGTCTAATCAATCCAGTTTCGACAGACATAGGGATTTATTCTTTCAGTCCCAGTCAAGTTGAGAACCTTGAATACTACTGCTGTGGGTTTTTGTTTTCTTTTGTTTTTCACCTGCCCCCTGAGGAGGATGTGCTGGGTCATAACTGTGCATCTTTCTGGTTCTGTTTCCCTCTAACTATTCAACTTACTTTTAAGACTACACTTCGTATTGCCATTCCTTTGTCAAGAGAATGACGGGAATCTCAGGAATAAATCCCCTAAAGCAATGGAACTATCACCCAGCTTTCTGATGGAAGACAGACCTATCATCTTGTTTGTGATCTGCTTCCTGCTTTTCCCTCTGGGTTGCCTGAAGCTCTTGTGACAATCAGGTAAAGAGTACCTGCAGTTCATCTGACCTCAGTGTGAAGTCACAGAACAAAACATCTTTTGTATCTTAAAATCTCTTCTTAACTCTTAATATTCCAGACCCCTTTCCATGTGTGAGAGGAATTAATCCGCTCAAAATTGTGTAATGGGCTGTAGAAGCTAGCCACAGTGTGTCCAGGAAAAGAATGGGAAATGCCTTTGGAATGCAGGAAATTAGCAGGGGCAGGGGTGGGGGCAGGGGCTTTGAAATGCAAATCTCTGTAGATCTGGAAAAGGACTTTCTTTGGGGTGGCGGCAGAGCCAGCAAGCCCTGTGGTGTGTCTTTAAACCCAGTGTAACCCTAAGGGAGGTTCTGCTGTCACTCAGGCCTCACTGGCCAATCAGGACCTCCAGGCCAACAGGCCAGTTGGAAAAGGTACAGGGCTCTTCCTGGTGCCCTGTTGCGTAATTGGCTTTGTACAGGAGCAGTGTTTTGTGTGCTGTGCTGTGAGTGCTGTTGCAGGGAGCTGTGCAGGAAGCATGGGTGAGCTGGCAAGCCCTGACAAGGTGAGCAATGAACTGTTGGGCCCAGAAGGGAAGAAGTTGCTGAGCCTGAAAAGCTACTTTGGCGAGTCCTCCCCGAGGCTGGGTGGGAACCTGTGACCAGGGAGTTTCCACGCGGTACCCGCCATTCCATCTGTGAGGAGCCTTGAGACCAGGGAGCTGTGTGTAGACACACCTCTGTGGTCAAGGTCAGCACGCTTTTGGTGCGTCCCTCTAAGGTGTTGCCAAATTCAGAGAGGTCTTTAGTACCGTCTAGAAGTTTGCACTTGGCATTTAACTTGTAGGTGGAAGATCCAGCTGGAGGTAGTTTTGTGGAGGTCGTAAATGGCATCCCTGGTGTTGGGTAGCACTCCCCTGCTAAGAGTGATGGACAGGAGTAGAATTGGTGATATAAAGGATTTGCCAACGCTTAAGCCATGGTATGTCCCAGAAAATGGAATTTAGCCACAGGAGGGCTGTGTCTGAAATACCTCAAAGATAAATATATGCCGAGCAGGTGTTTTAGAGATATGGATGCTAGGATACACATTTGTTCACCAGGAATTTAGCTACGAACAATTTTCAGCCAGTCATTAGGCTTATCCGCTTATCAAAGATCAGTCCTTTAAGACTGGGTCGTTATAGGATCACAATCAACATTAAGGCCAGGTCTGCCATAAAGGTCCAGTTTTCTTCTTGAGAAAAGCAAAGTTCTGCCAGAAGGGCAAGATTGCTGGTGTTAACACTGTTGTGTTGAGGCTTGGCCTCATCAGTCAAGGCCATCATGGATGCCGTGGTTATTGAGATGGAACATAGCACATTGTACAACCCAGAAACATGTTTTGAAGAGCTGGTAGCCACCTGGGGCCTCGGCCTTGGGAGCTTTCCCTAAGAGCCTGATGTATTGGGAATGAAATAGTGCTTCTCTGAAACCAGGAATATGCTTGGGCGAGCTGCTTATTGTCTGGGACAGGGACTTTTTGGAGGGATTGCTTCAGATCCTGAGATGCCAACTCTTTCAACTGCATGGAGCTGAGATGATCAGTTCCAAACCTCTGTGGCCTCAGTCACTAATATTCTCGAGAAACCCTGTGTTCCCCTTGTACTGCATTGTTTGATTGTTTCTCCTGAGTGTTAGTATGTTAGTTTCTGCTGACTTTCTAAAAGTTCCCCGTTTCCTTCCGTTTTCCACTGGAAGCAGTATACAAGACGGTATTCGTTTTAAGAAGCTTCCTTGGCATGAACATAGCTTTTGCAAAAGCCACTCCCCGGCCCCCAGCTTTGATCTTTTCTACCTTCTGCTTTGCTATCCTTCTCATCCCCTGGCACTTGTTCTTTAGGACCTTGTCACTGAAGGATGGGCTGCTGTCTCCTGTCACTGTTGTACTTAGGAAATAATTCTGGGAACGTTGTTGCTATGTAAGTCTAAGTCTCCCATTTGCTTAAGTGTCCAGACCTGCGGTCTCCTGGCCCGATTTAAGCTGTGCATAGTGTTACTTGGAGCCTTAACCTATATGAGACTTAAGGATATCAGCATATGTGGAATACAAAATCTGTTCTAGGCTCTCTCTTCTTTGAGCATTAGCCAGTGGTTGATGCATGCTATCATTGAAGAGATTAATCTTCATTGATCTCCTAAGTGTGTGGGGCGATTTCTCCCTGATCGTGATTGTTAAAGGTTGCCCCCTGCCACCTCTTTCTACCAGTTTCTAAATTATCTGTAATATTTAAAGAAAAACCTGTACATGGAATGCAACATTCATAACTTCTACAAACCAGTCCTTTAGTTCTTCGAGTTGTCTTCCCACTGTACAAAAAAAAATCAATGTCTGTGTGTGCACATTGGAGAGGGATGTTATATGCATCATAGCCTCTGATAGCCAGAGCTCCAGAAACTCTCCATCTGCAGGGAATCCACTCTCAGCAAGGATTAGAGGATGAAGAGACATGACCCAGGTCGACCAAAAAAACCATAGTCTGGCTCATGGTTTATCCTAGTCCCAGCAGCTGGGACAGCTCACAAAACTCCTTCTGCTCTGTGACAGTAAAGACACTGAATGCATCCTCCCCAAGGCATAACTGTGGTCTCCCAGGCATAACTGTGGTCTCCCAGGCATAACTGTGGTCTCCCTCGCAGCTCTCTACAGCTGTGTCAGAGGAGATCCTGAGAAAGAATCTACAAACTACCAAAGCAATTCTCAGTTACACAGTGTGAGGCAAGCCTAAGCTACAGAGACATTACTCTAAACAGAAAAAAACCCACCAGTATTTGAGAGAAAATAAATCAAACTATGAATGTTAGCTGCTGAGATCCATAACCTGACACAGAGTTATAGTCAATGTCCTTTTCCTCAAACCTCTGAGTTGACTTACCCATGCCAAGCAGGGTTGAATCTATTTGTAAAGGTGAGTTCCCTTGTTGGAAATTCAACATTCATTGGCCCAAGCTAACCCTCTCAAATTGGGTCCACACCAATATGGTTTATCTTCATGAATTCATACATGCTGAGAAATTAAAACCACTCCTGACCCAATCAGGCCCTTTCTCATAATGGCGCATCCTTAAGGTGGTTGCCTGCCCTGTTTCCATCTGCAGTGTACACAGTACATTCTTCTTCTGGGTATGCTCTGAAAGCAGAAACCATACTGCACATGCAAATCTTTTTCATAATACAGTATATGACACAGATGCATACTAGAAAACTCAGAGGTGGTACAGTCATTTAACAATTTCCAAGATGTAATATAGAGGAAAGCAGGGCTATTGACCTGGAGAGCAACAGAGTGTGATCAAGGCAACTTGGGCTAACATAAGAGAGTTTGTCTCAAAACATTTTTTTTCTAAAATGCTGAAGTGCAATTCTTCTGGTATTAATATGCATTTTGTTTTCATATTTCTGCTACCACCAGCCACAGTGACCTGACTCAGGGAAGTTCAGTTCCAGGGGAGAAAAAAGAGGTCCTGAGTTGCAACAACTTTTCAGATGTGTGTGGTGTTTGGGCAGATGGATAGGGTAGATTTCACATCATGTGCCATAATCCATGTGGTAGGAAATAGACATAAAATTATTCTTCTACATTGTTTTGTGGCTAATAAGGCTCGATTTGATGAAAACTACAAGGGGCCATGAGAGTTTGCAGAGATATAGCAGGAGATCACATCCATTTACACAGAGAGCTCCAGAGCATGGGGCTTCTCTGGGAAAAATACCAGTATCTATAGGGTGAGAAACGTAACAGCTTGAGGTTCACTATGGATTTGTTTTGTGGATGTTGCAATGTCTGCATTTTTTTAATTTTTATACAAATAGAATCTTAGGTAGTTTGGTAACATTGGTCAAGATCACAGTTTTCCTGGTTGTGTTTCCTTTAGACTTTTGATTAAAATGTGACTATTTTTCTGCTTCAGTTCTTGACTTTTTCTCCTCATTCATTTTATTCTTTCACAAGTATTTTACACATTCTTGATTGTTGTAGTTTTGTGGTAAGTAAAGAAGTTCTACCATGTCAGTTTCTCTACTATTTCTTCATAATCTTATTACACATTGAGTGTTTCCACTTTGCATATAGCCTTGAAATCAGGTACCTTGTTATAAATTTCTTTGAATTAACTTTATACTGCAAATTTTCCGTATACAACGTCTTCATATTGATGCATCATGTTTCCAAGGATGATTTACTTACTTTTAATTTATTTAGGTTTTGTTGTTGTTGTTACTCTGTAAAAGACACTATTTTGGATAAAACGTACTATGGGGCTTGACTAGGGGGTTAGCACATATTCTTCTTGGGGATGATTTGCATTCAGATACCAACATCGAAGATGGGAGACTCATAACTATAGGAGGAAGTTTTTCTGTCTTGTCCCATTTCACAGTTGCTTTCAAATAACTAACAACTCAGAAGCATAATACTACTTACAAATGCTTGGAAAATTGCTCAGGCTTATTATTAACTAGCTCTTATAAGTGAAACCAGTTTTACCAATTCATGTATTGCCCTAAGGCTCTTGGTCTTTACCTCTATGCCATTTTGTTTCTCCTCTGACTCTGCCTTCTTTCCAGAATTCTTCATGTCTCTGGCTGTCCTAACTCTACTTCCTGTCTGGCTACCGACCAATCAGCTTTTATTAGTCAATAAGAGTAATGCATATTCATTGTGTATAGAAGGATTATTCTCCAACATTTTTCCATTTTTGTCAAATTAAAAAGGAAGATTTTATTTTAACATAGTAAAATTATATATAATCAACACAGTTAACAAGTACGAATGAATTACAGCAACAATATCTAATCCATTTGTATTTGGCAAAGTTAGAGAAATAACTCTATCTTATTAAAGTCTAAAGTTTTGTTCATAGTTTACCTCCTACCATAACTAAGGAAAATTATAACTATAACAATCTAGTCTTCAACTCCATCAAAGACCCCAGAATGATGAAATGTTACCTAATGGCAGGGATATCAGGATGCCCAGAAAAATCACACAAAGTTCCTTTGTAACATTGGGGCATCCATCTTTGGCCTTCAGGCCTAGAATATCTGAGAGACTTTTCTTAGAAGCAGGGAATTTTGAAGGACTATCCAACCACATCTTGGCAAGGTTCAACAGTCAGTTAGTTACCTATTTTATGTCTTGCTAGTGCAGTTTGGACAGTAACTTTTAGCAACTGAGAGAAGGGCAATTTCATTGTCCACATGGATAGCTTTTCCCATGGAGAAAACAGATTCCAAATGGAGTTTCTTTGATGACCATCATCGTCTTTCTCTGAATAAATGGGCACTATCAGCAGCAGATGTGTCTCATTTTCATGAAAAGCCTTAGGTTATTTAAATATTTTTAATCACGCAGTATAGGAGCTGTTGTAGACAGTGAGAACCCTTGAAATTAGAATTAATGCAATTATTCATTTAATAAGCAATTCTAAAATGCTAAGCCATTTTTTTTTTTAGCCTGATGGTTTCATTGGTTTATTTTTGGAAGACAAGTTTTCTCTGCATAGAACTGCTGAGCTGCAAATAGGT